TAAACATAACATTAAAGGAATGAGTATACTGGGGCATACGACACCATACGTTACAGGCGCTCAAAACCGACTCTGGCATAGCCATTGCCAGGCTCTGTTTTGGGTGCACTGATAACAAGACCAAGGTCTGCAGCGGCATCAACAGTTCTGGAGAAAAAGGACTGGGCCCTTGACGTGTATTACATGTAGTTAGTTTCAAGTTCTTAGGTTATTTTAAGCATGAATTTACAGCTGAAACGCGTACTAAACTAACTAGAGCGCCAGAAAAGTTGCCTTAATGTTTCTTTAACAGCTTGCCTCACTTCTCTGATCTTCCAACAGTACAACAACGGGTTTAATGATGAGTTTAAATACACAAAGGTAGCCGTAAATTGCGAAGCACAGTAAACGGATAGAGACATCCCTTTCTGAGGTTGCAAAGCTACTACTATACCATACGGAAGATAACAAATAACCAATGTTACCTGCACCCACAATGCATTGTACACTGCCTTTCTGTATCGAGCTATGTTCAGTGGAATTGCTTGCCTTCGTTGTCCTTGAGCAACATGGTTTTGAACGTGAATTTGATTATGACGCATAGAGAAGAAAATTTTTGTGTAAGCGAAGATTGTGGTGACTAGACACATAGCCGTACCTATGTATTGATACCATGAAGTTATAAGAGAATTCCAAAATAAAGTTGATGAAGCAACGATGGACAAAATCCAAAAACCGATTACAGTTATACATGTTCTTCTCAAAGTTACAACTTGTCTGTATCTGAACCCCAGCAACAAGGCGAGAAGTCTGTCCACGCTTAATAAAGTAGATGTTGATAAAGACACTGAACACAAAATATAACCTGAGAAACGCGATCCCGGGAGTGAGTAATAGCAAATATTCCATCTTTTATTCACAACAGAAGTCCAATAAACTACAGACAAAGGCTGTCCAATAATACCAACACAGAGATCAGTTATCGCTAGGTTACGATACAGGAGTTTGGACGGCAGATGAAGTGAATTTTCCTTGTGCAAAGCAACTAGGATCAGAGTGTTCCCCAGCAGTGCAGTGATGGAAAGAAATACATTTACAGCGGAAAGAAGAATAAACTCAACATCTACACCTCTGATAAATTCCGCCGAGCAGACCAGTTCTCCGTACGTTTTCTGGTTTTCATCTTCAGTAAAGTTTGTCACTGGTACCATTTTTGTCCGCAATGCATTCAGAGATGCAAGTGATCGCTTTCTTTGTATTTCGCATTCTTAATTTTAATGGAAAGTGATATGATTCGTGGGTCCTTCCCTAATAACTTAAGGCCCATCTGCGAGTGCTGTCTGTTGTTCGTTAAAGCTGACGTCAGTCAGAAAAACAATAGGCTCGTCTTCATCGGGCCAGCAGACAGACAAGACAGAGGACGCGGAAGTTTAGCACTAAGTTCTGTAGATTTTCAAATTATATAGTCGAACTGTGCATGTGATAAGCAAGTTAAAACTAACTCGACGGACGATTCAATGATTTTTCAGGTCTAATGTGTTGTCGGTGCATTGCAAATTACCTATTGGCAGAAAATTCCAATAACACGTGCTGTTAAGTTTAAAAGCTTGAGCCATCACCGTTTATATATGTATATGCATAATTGACCAAGCTTGAGGTCAGCCAAGATGTCTGGAAAAAATATATTAAATATGTTCGCAACAAGGACGGTTTTATAACTTTTGGATTTGTTATAAGAAGCAAAGCGCGCGAAAAGCTCATGACTTTTCTCTTGAAACTGAGTTTTAGTTACGTATCCACTATTTCAACTTCATCTTTATTTAGTGATAACTGATGCCTGAATTAAGACAACTAAAACAAACATTAAAAAGTATTGTTAATGTTAATGTGTCTTAATTATGGCATTAAAATTTAATGTCATCCCTTGCTGTCCCTTCAATAATTTGAAGTTTCTCCCTTGTTCCGGCCATAAAGTAATTCCACATGGTCCTCAAAAGTCAATTTTGTCAAGTTTCCAAAGCTTCCGGAACAGTAAAATCGTAATGGTGTTCGAGTCAAGCCAATGGTATTTGAACTATAAATTAAAGCTTAACACGCGAAACAAACTCTTCACCAGACATATTGACGTGAGGCCTTGGTACACTCACAAACAAGTCGCAACTAACTGAGAAATTCGCCTCGTTAAGGGCCCGATTAGTAAAAGTATGCTGTTGGATCCTCTTTCAATTAAAATAGAGATTCAATGTTCCCCGGTTACCTGAAAAACTCAAAAATTCCCCTGTACCCTAAAATTCATTTCAAGATGTCACTTTTTCCATGAAAGTAAATAACTCGTGTTACCTTATTCCGCCAGATCTCTGGGGAGTGGCCCTCATATCATACTCAGTACATCAACTTAACTAAATACTTAAAAATACAACCGGTATCAGAAAGCGTCCAAGCAACGTTCGTGTTTTACTTTCCTATCGATGCAACACCTCAGCTTCTCTAGAAACTATAAAGTTCATCTTTAATTTATTCAGATCAGATAGTTTGCATATACTTAATCGTGTTCGCTTCAATTGCTCTCACCAAGGGTTTCTGTTGAATTACCCTCGCACCCGGGTGGTCTCACTTTGGTGTTTGGGAGGAAAAGCAAACCATTTTACCCATATAAATATCGCGTACGATAGTGTGTAATTAGAAATATGTAAAGGGAAAACCAAACGCCGTCATGTTGAAGTACAGTATTCAAATACACAAAAGATATTTGGCCTCAGCTAGAGGGGTATGTACCGCTAAACAGGGTATAGTTTTCAGGTTCTTGAGGGCATTCAATTTCACTATTTAATGTCTTGAACAGGGTGTCTTTTTGGATCGGAAGCCTTTAAAAGGGTGTGGAGTTGACGATGAGTGGTCTATATATGTGGTGCCAGCGATTTTTTCCCAGCAAAAGTTCAAACTCCATGATTTACGTTTGAAAAAATTATGCTACACTGTATGCGAAACAAAATGAATCAGGGTCATGAAATATAAGGTCTCTTGTTTTCTATGTGGTAGCGAAATGAACAATCTTCGTGTTAAACAGAGTCAAGGGTTTGAAGGCCTCAGCGGCAAACCTCTACCAATCTTCTCTTGAGTGCCCCCCCCCCCCCCCCCCCCCCCCCCCCCACCCATGAGACGCCCATCATCCACCCCCCGCATCCCACCCACACACACCGATTCACAACAATTCAGAAAAACACACCACACCCCCTAACAGTTACTGCAGTATTATGGCATTAAAATTTAATGTCATCCCTTGCTGTCCCTTCAATAATTTGAAGTTTCTCCCTTGTTCCGGCCATAAAGTAATTCCACATTGTCCTCAAAAGTCAATTTTGTCAAGTTTCCAAAGTTTCCGGAGCAGTAAAATCGTAATGGTGTTCGAGTCAAGCCAATGGTATTTGAAGTACAAATTAAAGCTTAACACGCAAAACAAACTCTTCACCAGACATATTGACATGAAGCCTTGGTCCACTCACAAACAAGTCGCAACTAACTGAGAAATTCGTCTCTTTAAGGGCCCCATTAGTAAAAGTATGCTGTTGGATCCTCTTTCAATTAAAAGAGAGATTCAATGTTCCCCGGTTACCTGAAAAACTCAAAAATTCCCCTGTACCCTAAAATTCATTTCAAGATGTCACTTTTTCCATGAAAGTAAATAACTCGTGTTACCTTATTCCGCCAGATCTCTGGGAGAGTGGCCCTCATATCATACTCAGTACATCAACTTAAATAAATACTTAAAAATACAACCGGTATCAGAAAGCGTCCAAGCAACGTTTGTGTTTTACTTTCCTATCGATGCAACACCTCAGCTTCTCTAGAAACTATAAAGTTCCTCTTTAATTTATTCAGATCAGTCCGTTTGCATATACTTAATCGTGTTCGCTTCAATTGCCCTCACCAAGGGTTTCTGTTGAATTACCCTCGCACCCGGGTGGTCTCACTTTGGTGTTTGGGAGGAAAAGCAAACCATTTTATCCATACAAATATCGCGTACGATAGTGTGTAATTAGAAATATGTAAAGGGAAAACCAAACGCCGTCATGTTGAAGACAGTATTCAAATACACAAAAACTATTTGGCCTCAGCTAGAGGGGTATGTACCGCTGAACAGGGTATGGTTTTCAGGGTCTTGACGGTATACAATTTCACTATTTAGTGTCTTGGACAGGGTGTCTTTTAGGACCAGAAGCCTTTAAAAAGAGTGTGGAGTCGACGATGAGCGGTCTATATATGTGGTGCCAACGATTTTTTCCCAGCAAAAGTTCTAGCTCCATGATTTAAGTTTGAAAAAATTATTCTACTCTGTATGCGAAACAAAATGAATCAGGGTCATGAAATATAAGCTCTCTTGTCTTCTATGTGGTAGCGAAATGAACAATTTTCGTGTTAAACAGAGTCAAGGGTTTGAAGGCCTCGGCGGCACACCTCTACCAATCTTCTCTTGAGTGTCCTCTTCTCCCCCGCCCCCGTAATAATCTCGGCTTTGTTATGACTGACACAATGAAGACGCCATCATGACACTCGTTTCTATTACAGAAATTAAACCCCCAGACTGTCATAATTGTATAGAGCTTTAAGCTAAAGGTATTCACTATGTCAACATGCTTTTTCTATCTAAAACGGATGACATTATTATAAAACAGTGCGCTCTATGATGTATGTACTAACAACACACGATTAGCAAAATACATGAAAAGTGAGATCAACAAGAAGAGATGATTTAAGAAAATACGATATTTCTTATGATTGATCAATGATTGATAAACTTGCCAAATTAACGAGTTCCTGTATTTCTACATAAAACCCAAATATCTGAACACAGGGATCGAAGCATTTTCCCACCTCTCTCTTTCGAGGTATATTTTGTCCTTCCTTTTCACCTCTTTTGTTACCTTTCTTCTATGCCTCTCGGATGACGCACGCGAAAAGACGTCTCCCTTGCTACTTCTGAATTCGCAACAGTCTTTGGATAAATTAAACGGCAGAGACATGACAAAAGAAATTAAAACGAGCACTTGTAGTTATTTATCAGTATGTTTTTTCAGCTAAAAAGCATAGTAAACCAACTCGATCGACAGAAGAAATACCTTAATGTTTCTTTCACAGCTTGTTTTACTTCACCGATCTTCCAACAGTAAAGCAAGGGATTTAAAGACGAGTTTAAGTACTATAAAGTAGGCGTAAAATTCCAAGCACGGTATACGGATATAGGTATCCCTCTTTGAGGCGTCAAAGCGACCGCTATGGTACACGGCAGATAACAAAAAAACAATGTTCCCTGCACCCACCGTGCACTGTAGGTTTCTGTATCGAGCTATGTTCAGTGGATTTGCTTGGCTCGGTTGTCCTTGAGCAACATTATTTTGAACATGAATTTTATTATGACGCAGAGTACAGAAGACTTTTGTGTAAGCGACGATTGTGGTCACTAGACACGAAGCTGTAGCTATAGATTGGGACCATGTGGTTATAAATGGATTCCAAATAATAGTAGATGAGTAAACATTTCTACCAAAAACCCACGCAACTACCATTCGTGTTGCACTAAATAAAAATTATGAAAAACACTGAGATCTATTAGCGCTCTCTCCCTTTCCCCTGTAGCTGTATATTTAGTTGCGTTCCATCCCCCTGATAGTTCTTATATTTTCTCGGCTTTATTTACGGCTTTGGCACCCTGAGAGCGGAGCCTCCATTTTCTTCTTCTTGATCGAGAAGGAAAGGAGACTCTCTCGATCTCTCTGCATGAATCGTGTCAAGCCTTTGAAGTCGACGAAGAAAGAACTTCTGGACTAGTCAATCTTGTTTTATCTCGTCAAACTGGTTTTGTTTTTTAAAATGCTAGCATCCGTTTCGACTGACTGACCCCTGGTTATAACTGCGCCACCGCACCAAACGCACAGCTATTAGGCCTCGGTTCGAAAATATATCCTAGCAACATGCAGCGCATGCTCAACAAAGATTTTACTCAACTGATGCAGAGTCTTTCTTGAGTGCGCTAAAATCAAGCAAACAAAAGGCTCTGCTGGCACGATGCGGCTTTAAGGGTACAGGGATGGGTAGATCCAATTCCTCTTCTTTCTTTTTCACAAACGGGTACGTATGGCTCACGAAAACCTCGTTGTTAGTGATTTTCTCCTTTATCCATACCTGACAAACATACATTTCCGTGCTTCGCAAC